GGGCTGGGCTTCCAGGTCTCCTAAGACGCGGTGCAGTCACTCCGGACACCCGGGTCGGACACTCTGTACCCCTAGGGCTCCGGGATGGGTGACACGGGGCTCTGGAGGCGGTGGCGGCGCTACATCTGGGGCGGGGACAGTCCCAGCTGTGGGACGGGGGGCGGTCGCCCGAAGCTTCCCCTCCCCCTTGCGGCCTCCTCGGCTCATATCCTGTTCCCGCCCGCGGGGGGGAGGGGCCGCCTTCCGGCCGGCCGGCCAAACAAGGGTTAAGTCCCGCCCCCTTTTAAGAAATATTCATGAGTAGGTGGGCCCTCCGGCGGGACACCGCCCACATTCCAAGTGCCTCTCGTACTTTTCCCTTTTACAGCAAGGGCGCGCGAGGCGTGAGAATCCGGACCGGGTCACACTCTTTTTCTTATTGGTTACCTAGAGGATTTTTATTTGCATATGTAACATGGGGAAAGGTTGTCCAGCGAGGTCACGCGGGTAGGAATAACTGAAGGACGCTGCGGCAGAGGGGTGCGGCCGGGGCTCCAGTGGCGCAATCGGTTAGCGCGCGGTACTTATATGTCAGTGCAGGCGGAGCAATGCCGAGGTTGTGAGTTCGATCCTCACCTGGAGCACTCTTTTCTTCCTCCTTAACCAAGGGCCGCTTGACCGTCATCACTTTTGAATTAGGTTTTATATTTGACATTTCCATCAAAGAACCGACAACACCGATTTGAAGAATGAACATTTTATTTTCCATCTGAATTTTCACACTTGAAAAATTTGGGCATTGATATTTTGGAACAGTCTGGAAAGTGAAGTTTTCTGTTGTGGTCGCCAGGGGGCAATATCGCCCCTCAGTAGATGACCTGGGCATCGAATCTAGTCTGTAAATCTCAGTTTAAGATTTCCTAGGTAGACTTGGCCTTCAGCAAACAGGCTCTGCCTCTTTTTTTCTTCTTTTTGTTCCTTCGATTTTCCTTCCCCTCCATCCCTCCATCCTCCCCCCCCCCCCCGTAGCCCCAGCTGGCCTAGAACTCTCTATGTAGACCAGACAGGTCTTCATCTCATGGAAATTCACCTGCCTCTGCCTCCTGAGTGCTAGAATTAAAGGCCTGTGCCATGAGGCCTGGCATCTTTTGGTTTCTAAATCAATTTGTTTTCACAGTACAGACTGACCTCCCAAGGCAGATTGCTAGAAATGTAACAATTAGGTACATTTTATTTTGGCTTTCATTATGTAGTCCCAGCTAGCTTCAAATTTGCCATCCTGCCTCCAGGTTTCCAGTACTAGGAGTGTTCGTTGTACACCTGACTTTTAAGTACTTCTTACATGCTATGTAGTGATACCTCTCATGGAGACTGTAGAGGGACATGGGATAGGGAATTGAAGTGGGTGTGGGTTGCAGTAGTCAGATATGGTCTTATTTAGGCAGAGATGGGGAGGAGGGTGACTGGGCAAGGTGTTCCCAGCAGAGGGGACAACCAGTGCAAAGACCCTGTGGCGGAAGCCAGCTTTTCTGTGTAGGAACAGCTAGGAGGCCAGCATCAGAACCAGTGAGCCAGGGGAGGAGGGGAGCTGGACTTTGACTTTCTGTGATCTAACTCTGGTAGTTCCAACTAGCTTCCCTTGGTCTCCTAGGAGGGAAGCTACTGAGGACGGGTGGAGCAGAGATCTGGGAGGGCTAGAGTGGGAGTGGCTGGGCAGGAACGAGGTGATGGAGCAGGATGGGCAGCTGGGGCTGGAAGATGGTTACGATTTACTTTTGTCCCCAGGGTGAGTCTGACCTGACTACCCATGACCTGCGCTGTGGACTTAAGACACAAACACAATGGAGTCATGCCCAGGGCCTGGGTGTCCAGCCTGAACCTGCTGGTGTCATTATGAGGGTGCTGCCTCTTAGTGACACCCTAGGCCCAGGGTCTTTGTATTTGGAAGGGACAAGGGCCAGGGCCAGGGGTGGTAGCAGATAGCATATCTGAACAGGAAGGCCTAGAGCTGTATGGCTCTTCCAGTGTTCAGACTCTCTCTCCAGTGTCTGCACTGCTGGCTCCCTCTGCCTTCCCAATGTCCCCAGTGTCCCCTCTCCCAACCCTGTTCTCCATACCAGGGCCTGAGCTGTTTCCCACAAGGAAAGTGATTTCCTGGAAGAGGAGACCAAATGTCAGAGTGGGCCAGTGGAAAGCAGTGAAAGACAGACAGGGTTGGGGAGAGAACAGAAAGGTTAATGGAAGTTAAGGAAGGAAGGATAGAGGCGAAAAGAGGACTCAGAAGCAGAGGGGCCAGCTGGAAGGGCTGTTTCCAGTTCAAGGCCAGACTGGGTTATATAATGAGTTTCAGGCCAGCCTGGGCTACAGAGACACTGTCTCCAAAAAACAACTACCCCCCCCCCCCAAAAAAAAAAAAAGCAGAGGACTAAGAGATTGGAGGGGAAAATGGGGAGGATAAAGGGAGAGGGGAGGAGTTGAGAGAAGAGCGAACAGAGACGGAGGGGGAGGGGCGGAGAGGGGCGGGGCGCGGGCCTTGACGCGGGTGGCTTCCGGGTGCGGCCCGCCTGGCCCCAAGTTGCCCGCCGCCGCCTCTTGCCTTGTATGGTCGGAGGACCCGGCAGCACGCGCCCCGCCCCGCCAGCCGAACCCGACCGAAGTCCGGAAATGCCCGATCCCGGTGGACGAAAGGTTCTGGGATCTCGGTGCCAGAAGGCTATTGACTATGGCTCTAGGATTCCAAGTCGCCAGGGGCCCGGGCCGGTGATTCCTCAGACTTACTTAAAGCTCCTTCTCTAATCAGGAGGCTGAGGCAGGAGGATGCCAAGAGTTTCAGGCGGGCTCAGGCTAGAGTTGAGACCTAGTCTCTAAAAAAGCAAAGCAAAAGCCCATAAAGGGCCCGCCGAGATAGCCGCGGGGGTGAAGGCGCTTGCCACCAAGCCTGACGACCTCAGTTCTAGCCCCAGGTACCCACATGGAGAGCCTGATTCCTGCAAGTTGTACACACACACACACACACACACACACACCACACAAATCCCAGCACTCTGGAGGTAGAGACAGGTGGATTTCTGTGAGGGCAAGGCTAGCTTCGTCTACATAGAGAGTTGCAGGTCAGCTGTGGATCTCCAAAAACAAAACAAAACACCAAATAAAGTGCAAAAAAATAAAACCGGGCGTGGTAGCCTAGTACTAGAATGGATGACAGGATTACCGAGTTTGAGGCCAGCCTAGGCTACAACAGTTTAGGCCAGCTTGAACTAGACAGTACTAGACTCTAGTCCTGAACCCCGGCTAGAGGGTGAACCCCTGCCGGGCCGCTGTAGCGCCGCCCACGCCCGCCAGGTCTTGTGTTCCGGCACATTACGTCCTCTTCGCCCGGCCAGCCTCCCTTGGACTCCTGGGGACGGAAACAACCCGTCCCCGCCCCAGCTGGGTCAAGAGTCCGAGGGACCTCAGAGGAACGGCTCCCCACGCCAGAACTGGCTCTCCCGGTTCTTACTGGGTGACCTCACCTGGCTCCACCCCCTCAGGTGAGCAACCGGCCGGTGACGTCACTTCCTGCCAGGTAAGTGCTGCCAGGCAGCTCAGGTCTTGGGAAGATCTGACCTGAAGAATCTGGTTAGTTTTCCCACAGTTCCACAGCCTGAGGACCGCGAAAAAGACAGCATTTCGGTTCACTCAAAATTTCTTTTATTTAAAAATTCCAAAAACCACAAAAATAGGCCTTTCAGGTAACAATATATTAATATATTATAGTATACTTAATAATTATAGCATTGTTTTCAATATTACAAAAAGAAAAATACAAGGCAGACGACCCAATATATAAATACTATAAAATCTTATTACAATAAATAAAGTCGTCATAAATAAGGGCCCTGGTCTACGAGGAGAGATTTGGCAATGGCTTTGGCTACTTGCTTGGGGAGGGAAGTTTGAGCACCAGGATTCTCCCTTGGGGAGGGTTCCAATCACCAGACACTGAACCTTGGGGTCTAGTAAAACTTGAGAGGGGGTCATGGGAGCCAGTTCATCACAGCACGAAGATTCCACGAGACCAGAGTTGAGCAGGGGCTAGCACACACCAGTAACCCCAGCACTTGGGAGGCTGAGGCTAGAGGATTTCATGAATCAAAGGCCAGCCTGGGCTACATATGAAGACCCCTGTCTCAAAAACCAAAGAGCCACTGACCCTTCAATGACGCTACATCTTATGGATCCCAGGAAACATTTCACCCCAACACTGAACTTGCAAACTAGGGACCTGCCCCAGCCTAGCATTAGGGGAGTGGATTAATGCATTTTGGAATGTTTTGGGGGAGGAGACAGAATACCCCCCCTGGTCCCCAATAGCACAAGTGCCCCCCCATCTAGCTGATCAGGAATGGGTAGGCACTTGTCACTCAGAAACCGAGATGCGATTGAAGATGGGGAGTCGACGTTGGCTTACAGGGGGCTGGGGAGGCCCAAACACCCCGGCTTCAAAGACAGGTGAGTCTGAGCCCCCCAGGCTGCTCCCACTGCTGGCGTATTCATCAGGGTCGGATCCCAGCGAGTGTGCGGATGGGCTGCGCGCCAGGCCACCCAAGGGACCCCAGATGCTGGCAGTAGACCTTCGGCAGGAGGGGCAACAGACTGGAGTGGGGTCCCTTCGAGCCACAGGGGTTCCAGGGGCAGCAGAGAAGGCAGAGGGAGAAAGGGGAAGGTCCCCGGCTGGAGGCGGGGAGCTGGAGGGCGAGAAGGAACAGGAGGACAAGGATAGAGCGGACAGGCCTGGCGGAGGCGGTGAGGTTCTGCGGCCGGAGGGCAAGCCAGAGAAGCTGATGCTCTGACGCAGCACATGGGGGTGTCCGGGGGAGGAGGCCTGGTCCTCGTTGGGGTTGTGGATGAAGTGGCATCTCGAACCGTAGGGACAGCGGCCCTGGAGGTAGAACTTGCGGCAAAGTTCAGTCTTATACTTGGGGTGGCGATTGGCCTGGCGCAGCTCCCCGAGGCCGTGCGCAAACTGGCACTTGGCCCCGTAGCGACAGCGGCCGCTCTCTGAGAAGGTCCGGCAGAGTTCGGTCTTGTAGCGGGACGAGGTGGTGGGAGTCGCAGGAGGTGAAGTGGGTGAGGGCGACAGTTCAGGGCCCGGGCGGGGAGCCAAGGGTGCGAAGCCGGGAGGCGGGGGGACCCAGCCACAGCTTCGGCTCTCCACCAGGCTGGTGGAGCGGCCGGGTAGGCGGGAGGGAACCTCAGGCGCAGGCGAGTCACAAGAGTTGATGCTCCAAAGTCCCGAGGGCTCAGTTCCTCCGAGGTCGGATGACAATTCAGGGCTCAGCGACAGGAGGCTCTGAGAGGAACAGGGTTTGGTTAGGACACCCCCAAACCAAAAGTGACGCAGGTCCCCACCCCCGTTGTAAAACGCTCTTCCAGAGCTTGCCAATCCGGTTTGTGGGGTCCCGAACTAAGCCCCACCCGGTCCCAGAAACTTCTAGGAGAACACGACCATGGAGATTCTGAGTGGATCCACATGACTGAAGCCAACCCTGAGGGATCCGGGAATCCCAATTCCCCCGATGGCTCGAGAGGGGAGCCCTCCCCAAAATCGGCGCATAACACTGCTCTCCAATGTTGCGTCTCGAGACCTCCCCGGATGTGATCTCGCACCGGGCGCTCCAGTTTCACAACGGGAGGAGCTGGGCAGAGCTGACCTGGATCTCTCTAGAACTCTGACTAAGGGGTGAGGCCGAAGCCTCCCCCACCAACCCCGCCCGGCGACCTCAACGCCAGAAACACCGGGTCCACACAGAGGACAGGCAGGTGTGGGGCCACCTGCGTCCTCAGGGAGAGTTCCGAACAGCGCCAGCTTCCCACCCGCCCCGCCCGGGTCCGGGTCTCCCAATCTTCGGGCTCCACTTTGCACCTCAGTTGGTCAGGGCCGCTCTGTCCCGGGCCCAAGTTTGGGGGGGCCCCAGAAAAAGGGTGTCGCATAAGTCGGGACTCACCTCATAGATGGCAGAGAGATCCATGGTGGCGCGAGTGGCCATGAAAAGTAGGCCAAGAGCTGGAGCGCTGAAACCAGGCTGCGGCTGCAGCGGCAAGAGCTTGGCCCTTTATAAGGCAGCCGCCGGGGGGGCGTGGTAACGAGGGAGCTTCCCGGACGCGCCCCCGCGGCGTGGCCCGGCTGGGCTGGTACTAGTTCCTTTCCGCCCCGCTGCTGGTTAGCACCCAGAATGTGCTTGAACTTGGCTGGCAGGCACCCAGGACGGTCTCGGGAGGGAGTGGGGCTGGTGGTGGTGGCAGGGGGAGGGGGACGTCTGGCTAGTTTACAAAGGTTGGAGACTGAGGAGCGAAAGGAACTGGGGCAGAGGTGCGGGCAGGGCTCCAGGGGCAAGGGACAAGGGCAGAGACGGCGACGGGGCTGGCAGACCAGCTGGGAGAGACAGATGTGGTAAGAAGCCCAGGAAAACAAAGACACCAAGTCAGATATACACTTCTTCGGGGCCTGCTGCTTCAGGACCGGAACCCCGCCTACTGGGGAGGCCGAGGCAGGGGAGTAGTAAGTTCAAGGCCTGGCTAGGCTACAGCGTGAATTCTAGGCCTGCCTGGGTGACTTAGTGACACGCCATGTCTCAAAAGTAAAAAGGCCAGGTGTGGTGGCCTTCCTGGCACTCTGGAGGGAGAGGAAAGGGGATCAGGAGTTCAAGGCCAGCCTTGGGTACATTGTGTTTGAGGCCTTGTGTCAAAAAAGAGAAAAAACATTAAGATAATTTAAAAAGCAACTCAGTGGTAGAGCAGCTTATTTGGCATGCACTCACCCCTTAGGTTTATTCCCTAGTACAGGAAGAAAAAGGCATCTACAGAGGGTTGAGACCAAATTCTGATGAGGAAGAGGGTGACACACAAAAAAAGGAAGGGTGGAAAACTCAAAACACCTGTAGAGCAGAACTGCACAGGGACCAGTGTACCCTGAAGGAGCTCCTAGAGCCCTATCACCAGGTGCAGCCTCCTTCCAGGAAAGCCCTCCCCATCCCCCAGTCATAGGCTGGAGTCTGGGAAGCCTAGCAAGGCAGGAACAGGGCCTTCTTCCCCAAGCTGGGTCTGTAATACCAGGACCTTAAAATAGGTTTCGCCCCAGAAAACTCAAGATTGTTATAGCTTTGAGTCTTTTTTTTTTTTTTTTTGGTTTTTTTGAGACAGGGTCTCCCTATAGCCCCAGCTGTCCTGGAACTCACTGTGTAGACCAAGCTGGCCTTGAACTCACAGAGATCCACCTGCCTCTGCCTCCCAAGTGCTGGGATTAAAGGCCTGCACCACCACACCTGGCATGCTTTGAGTCTCTAATAGAGGAAGTGCACCAAAATTGAAAAAAAGGGGCAATTTTCAATGTTGAATAGGCCTCTTATAATGCTAATGTACTTTAAGTCTAAAGGTTCCAGAGGATCATTCTCCCCATAAACAGTTGAAATTCGGTAAGGTTTTTGGTGTTTCTTTTTTTTTTTTGAAATTCGGTAAGGTTTTCCTTAAATTTTTTTTAAAGTTTTGTTTTTTTTTTTTTTTTTGGTCTTTTTGAGACAGGGTCTCCCTGTAGCCCAAGCTGTCCTGAAACTTGCTATGTAGACCAGGCTGGCCTCAAACTCAAAGATCTGCCTGCCTCTGCCTCCTGAGTGCTGGGATTAAAGGCATGTGCCACCATGCCCAGCAGTTTTTGGTGGGTTTTAAAAATATTATTTTGAGGCCGGGCGTGGTGGTACACGCCTTTAATCTCAGCACTTTGCTAGCGAAAATCCTGCCATTAATGTAGCACACTTCCAACACTCAAAAGTTGAAATTCTGAACTGGGGGCAGTGGCACATGCCTTTTGTCCCAGCACTTGGGAGGCAGAGGCAGGCAGATCTTTGTGAGTTTAAGGCCAGCCTGGAATACATAGCGAATTCCAGGCCAGCTGGGACTACAGGGAGACCCTGTCTCAAAAAGACAAAAAAAAAAAAATTATTTTGAGCCAGGTGTGGTGGTGCACACTTTTAATCCCAGCACTCAAGAGGCAGAAGCAGAGGCAGGCAGATCTCTGAGTTCAAGGCCAGCGTGGTCTACACAGTGAGTTCCAGGACAGCTGGGGCTACAGGGAGATCCTGTCTCAAAAAGACCAAAAAAAAAAAAAAATTATTTTGAGGGGCTGGAGAGATGGCTCAGCAGTTAAGAACACTGGCTGTTCTTGCAGAAGAAAGATGGATTCAAATCCCAGCACCCACATGGCAGCTAACAACTGTAATTCCAGTTCCAGGGAATCCGACAGCCTCTTCTGTCCTCTGAGGGCATTGCACGACAGAGGTGCACTTACCTACACACAGGCAATACACACATACACATTAAATAAAATAAAAATAATAAAAAATATTATTTCGAGACAGGGTTTCCCAGTAGCCCCTGCTGGTCTGGAACCTGCTATGTAGCCTGAGCTGGTCCGGATCTGCTGGCCTGCCTCGTGTGTGTGTGTGTGTGTGTGTGTGTGTGTGTGTCGGTGTGTGTGTGTGTCTTTTTGAGACAGGGTCTCCCTGTAGCCCCAGCTATTCTGGAACTCACTATGTAGACCAGGCTGGCCTCAAACTCACAAAGAGATTCCCCTGCCTCTGCCTCCCAAGTGCTCCGATTACAGGCATGTGCCACCATACCCGACTATATTTTTCATTTTTTAAAGACAGGGTCTCCCTGTAACTAGCCCCAACTGTCCTGGAACTCATTATTGTAGACCAGGCTGGGTTACACTTCCGCCTGCCTCTGCCTCCCAGGTGCTGGGATTGAAGGCGTGAACCACCACGCCTAGAGTGTGCTTTTTATTTTTGAAGGAAGATCTTGCTATGTAACCCAGGCTGGCTTGGAATTCACTATCCTTCTGTCTCCACCATCCAGTGCTAGGATCAGTGGGCCATGCCTTGCCATGCCCAGATAAAGTTTCTCTTCAGGATGTCTCCTGTGAAAATGTGTTATGTGGGAAGAGAGGGATAATCACTGCCAGGAGTGTAATTACAACGCTGGAAAAGTTCATTCTTGTAGGCTGCACAGCAACTTGTATTGAGGTGGGGTGATTCTGCCAGGCTCCAAGCCTGCGCAGCCCTGGGGGAATCCCTAGTGCTGCGCTTTCTGGGGCCGAGGGGCCTTCCTGGGCTGGTCCCGTGAGCTGGGCGGGTCGCGAGCTGCTCTGGCACGGTTGCGGCCTCCCGCTCGCCGGTGACTCACTCGCAAGGGCGGGGAAGAGGGGCTTCCTGGAAGCCGTGACGAGGACGCTCAGCCCGGACGCCTAGGTTCCTCTCCTGTAACCAGGGCTCCGGTCTGTTGTAAACAGAACCTCGAGGACTACGGGAAAAGGGGAAGGAGGGGCCAGGGACTCGCTTGCCCGCCCAGCCTACAAATCCCTGAGCTAGCCAATTTTAGGGCCAAACGCACAAATCTGGGGTGGGGGTGGGGCAGGGGCACGCAGGGATTCGCGGAGTCCGGCTGGGTCGCGAGCAGGAAGGAGGAATTCCAGTTTCGATTCCCAGGAGACGGGCAACATCTGCCATCCCTGACTCGGTCTGCCCATCTGCTGAGTCACTGGGACTAAAGCCTGGATGCCAGGGACCACTGTGCTCGCCTAAGGGGATAGGGAGGAGGGTGATGAGCGCGGACCGTCCCTTCTAAAAGTCAAGGCTGTGGGTCCGCAGTATCCTACAAGGGTCAGGCCCAGCCCCTTCCAGCCCAGGAGTCCAACCCTCAACCCCTGCTCCCTGACACCCTCAGACCCAGGATCCAGACCCCGGCCCTCCTCCCTCTGACCCTGGTGTCCAGCTCCAGTTCCTGTCCTCTGGATCTAGGCGTAAGGGGTCCCATCCACCCCCAACTTGGGCCTCCATCTCAGGAGGAAGTTTACGGCCGGGCTCCTCCCTGCTGCCCACGTAGCCAGCGGGAAAATCCGCGGCCCTGGCGGTGGCCGGGAATCCCCTCTGGAATGACGGTGGGGAAGGGGATGGCCAAGGGCCGGTAGGGCACACCGCCAGGTCCTGGGCGCGCTGAGTGGGGGCTGGGGAAGAGAAAGGGGCGGAAACCAGAGAAGCTAAAAATATAGCCAGTGCTTCCGGCCGGGGTGGGGAGGGGGAGGAGAGTGGAGAGCAGAGTTTCCAGAAAAACAAGCAGGGACGGGAAACGCGGGGGTGTGAGAGCCGCGGCGGGTGCACGGGCGGATTGGAGCCCGTGTACCCACGGCACGTGTGCCTGGCTGTGTGCGCTGGGCGTGACCAGGCGACGAGTGTGGACCATGGTGACACTGTGTTGGGGACACAGGGTGCCAACCATAGTGTACTGGAAGGAGGGAGGTGTCCTTCCAGTACATATGGAGGGGATGGTATGGGTGGAGCCGGGGTTCCTAAGTAAGCAGTTGGGGGAATGGATGTGGGAACAGTTTTGTGACCAGTGACCTGTGCATAGGGGCCCCATGGAACAGGAGTTTTTTTTTTTTGAAACGGTCTTCCCATAGCCCCAGCAGGCCTGGAACTATGTAGACCAGGCTGGCCTTGAACTCACGGAGATCCTCCTGCCTCTGCTTCCCAAGTGCTGGGACTACAGGCATGTGCTAGCACGCAGGGCCTGGAACAGGACTTTGTAAATGCTGGTGAAACCACCACTCTGCGTGGTGGGCCTACGCCTTTAATCCTAGCACTCTGGAGGCAGAGGCAGGAGGTCTCAGTGAGATTGAAGCCAGCCTGGTTTTTATAGTGAGTTACAGGCCAGCCAGGGAGACCCTGTCTAAAAACAAAAACAAACAAAAATGCGCAATTAACTAGATCATTTGTGCCTTGAGCTGCTCCACACTGGCAGACTAACTGTAACTTCTGCAGCTGTCTTTGAGGTGGCTTTATGGGAACTGTCATTTCTACTCTACCCCGAGCACATCTGTGTGTAACTGAGTCACCATACGATCTGAAGTGCATAGGTGACAGGATTGTGCACATGGCCACGTCAATCATGTGTGACTCTGCAGCTGTCTTAGTGCACACCATCATCTCTAGGTGTACAAAGGTTATTTGTGGGTCTGTGTCCTTGTTTGTGGCTGTCTCTAACACTCTGTGTACCTGACAGTGGTAGGCCTGGGTCTGGACACAGTTCCCCTGTGGTTCAGTCACAAGGCAGGGAAATGGGTGAACTTTGGTGCCTGACGTAGATGTCCACCTACCAGCCCACGTGATGGGGAGAGCAGCTCATGTGTCTGTGTCTGTGGGCAGAGCAGACATGCACACACCCCACACCTAGATGCTGGATGTCTGAGCAATCTTATCTGTCCCCAGCAAATGAGGCCGCTCTACCGGGGTGTTGAGGGCAGGACTGAGTCAGCCTGTGATGGGCAAAGTCTCTGATCGGGCAAGAGATAGCGGGCTAAATGGTGGTTACAGGGCTGTGTGTTCACGTGTTTGGATGTTTGCCCTAGAGTGTTTGTGGCACTTGCTCATGGGCCAGGGTCCCTGTGTGGGAGGTGAGCAGTGTCTCTGCTTGGGGTGGGGAGTTTGCCCATAGTTGGGTTTTTTTGAGACAGACTGTAGATATGTGGACCAAACTGGCCTTGAACTTGCAATCCCTCTGTCTGCCTTCCAAATGTTGAGATTACAAACCTAAGACACTGCTGGATCCATGGTCTATTCTGCCTGCAGCATTGTGGCCGTTACTCAGCGGCCTGTATACCTCCCTTTGGTCCTAGAAGTCTGTCAAAAGCCAAGTCCTCAGCAAGGCCCTCTGTGACACTCCTGGGCCTCCCTTCTCTACTCCCTGAGTACAGGCTAAGTCTTGTCACTCAACAGCACGTTCCTGCCTGAAGCTAGCCTGCACATTACCTCCACCCCCAGGGCTCTTGTTCCTGAGATAACATGACCTAGTCCCTCTCTTCAAGTCTGGCACCTGCTCAAAAAGCCTTTTTTTTTTTAAAAAAAAAAAAAAGAAAAAAGAAAAAAGAAAAAAAACAGAACCAAAAATGTCTCACTGTGTAGCTCTGGCTGGCTTGGAACTTGCTATATAGACTAGGCTGGTCTCACAGAGATCTCCCTGCCTCTGCCTCACTGGAATTAAAGGCATGCAACACACCCAGAGGAGCAGTTTTCTTTGCCCAAGCTGGTCTCCAACAATCCTGCCTCAGCC